TCACCAATTGCCTCTGCCCATTTAGCAGGGGTCCTATTCCTCCCTGGGCCTTCCTTTTACTCCCTATATATCTAAAAAACAATTTCTTGTTGTCCTTTACTTGGGATGCCATCCTCAGCTCCATGGTAGCTTTGGCCCATCTAACTGCCTCCCTACAAGCGCGAGCAGAGGAGGTATATTCGTCTTTGGTGATCTCTCCCCGTTTCCACTTTTTGTGTGCTCCCCTTTTGGCCCTTAGGCTGCCCTGGATTTCTCTGGTCAGCCAAGGAAGCCTCTTGGCCCCTTTCCCTCTTTTTCCTCACATCGGGATCGTCTTGCTTTGTGCCCGAAGGATCATTTCCTTAAGGCACAGCCACCCTTCTTGGGCTCTCATCACTTCAAAACTCCTACTCTGTTCAGGAGGGCAGTGGTATAGACATGACCTTTGATATCAAAATGTCTTCAATACAGTACTGTTTCTCACTCTTGTGATTCTACCTAACCCCACAGCATTCCAGATGTGTGCAGGTGAGATGCAGACTTACTATTTTCAGGTAAAAAATTGAATTTCTCTGAATATTCTCTATTCCAGACCTGTTTAAAATCTGTACAAACTAAAATGTCCCTCTAGCATCTCTTTGTGGATGTTTAGCTGTGTGTTCAAAGTCAGTGTGCCTAACACAGAGCTCTTATCCTTACCTAAATCCCCGCCTTTCTTGACTACTGTGGCCAGTGTGCTGGCCTGCCTGTCACTTAAGCCCATACCCTGAGCATCACCTTTAACTGTCCTAGACAAATGTCCAGGTAGGCCAGGCAAGTCATACTCTTCCATCTACCAAAAGGGCAGGCAGAACAGTAAGAAGTACCCAAGGAACATCAAGAAAGGCTTCCTCACATTGGGCTACATCTAAATATTGCCAGTTCCTTCTGCATACTATTTGCTGTCCATACAGGTAAAAGTGTCATGCAGACTCTGATCATTTCACATACTCGAGGCTGGGTTTGCTCCTTAGCTGGATCACACTGACAGAAAATGGAGGGGTTTCAGGAGTGAGCCATCAACAAGAGCCAAAAGCAACAGCAGCATACTCTGAAATGAAGTCACTTCTGACCATAAGATGTTGTGGTATTCTTACATGCTGCTGCCGGCGCATGCAAGAGATTCTGCACACACCAAACATTAACGTGTAAACAAAATGCTGGGAAAGGGAAGAAGAGAAGGGAACTCCTGACCCTTCTGCTTTTGGAGTAGTGGTTTTACCATATGCTAGATACCAGCATGTTCCTGTCCTTTGAATGGCTGCACCCACATTTTGCCCCTTAAGCAGGTTGGATCCTTAGAGTGAGAAATGCACCACGTGCTAGTTTTGGGGCTGTGAGGAGTGTATGCATGTGTGTGTTTTTGTGTACTTTTAACACATCAATGTGGTTGCTATTTTTTAACTTGTTTTATTACTGCAGCTATCAGGGTGAAGCTAACCAGCAGAGAGAGGGCTTGCTTTTTATTCTGTGTGTACTGACTCTGGGCATGTGCGGGAGGTATAGGAGAGGTTGGTCAGTCTCTGTGTGAGGGCCTGCCTGCCTCAAGTCATGAACATCTCACCAGTGTGTCCCTGGGATGGTTGCTTGGCTCCAGTTGCCCTTCAGTTCCCTTCAGATTTTGGCTTTGCTCTGCCCTGATGCCAATAAAGATCTCTTCTCCTCCCCCAACATAGAAAGAGGTGACCTTAGTAATATCCTGCCTGACCTGGCCTATTGGTGGGCAACAGTTACGCTGCTTTGTTAGGCCTACAGCTCTGAGCTTAAGTCTGACTCAGAAGAGCCCCCAGAAGTGAGGAGTTCCCATCTGAGAAGTGACTCTCTTTGCTTTCCCCTGCTTTCAGGTTCACTGGTCCCCAAGCAGAGCTGTACCAGGCAATCCTGGGGATCCAGAAGTCTTGTCTGAACCTCTGTTCCCCAGGTGTGAGCTTGGAGAACATCTACAATCTCATTCTGAGCCTGACTGGGTAGAAGCTGAGAGAGCTGGCAGTGCTAAAGAGAAGCATCGCTGAGAACCACTTCTTCAAGGTACCTGAACTCTTTGCTCCAGCATCTCTACCCATCCTAGGTCTGACTGCTTTCTGCCTGCAGGAATGGCAGTCTGTTGAAACCTTGGCATTTCTCAGGAGACCTGGTTTCCAAGTAGACATGAGTATCCAGATGTCACGTGGTTACAGCTGTGACAGGGAGGTGTCCTCCCCTATAAACCAAGGGGAGGCAATGCCTGTGTCACCAAGCAGGTGGCAGCACAGCTAGAAGAGAATCACCTCTGCAGCTTAGACCCCAAGAAATGTCAAGGGGTGAGGGTAGGGTTAGGAGATGGAGTTAGTAGAGTGATTCTCAAATGGGGTGAGGGAGATCCTTTGAAGGATGTTGCAGGAAGCATGAGGAGATAAGCAGATAAACACAGGCTTAGGCTCTCCCTGTCTGGAGGATCCCTCCTCCCACTGCCTGGGCTCTCTACACTGTAATAAGTACTATAAATCTTTGAAATTAGGTGCCGATTGATTCACAGAAGTTATGGAGAGGTGGTCATGAGTCTAACGAGGGGGCCCTCAAGTCTAGAAAGGTTGAGAATCACTGGGTTAGTCATTTGAGACTCTTTATACTGAAATCCTTTGGTGGTGGAAAGGGTTTATGGTGGCACAAAGGGTCCAGGAGGGTTCACATCCTAGTTCTGTTGGTAAGTGATATCAGCACAGCATTCTTATCTTATGGATAAGCTTAAGGAACATGTTCTCCACATCACCAAATCACTTGTCCTAGTTGCAGGTTCTGTAGATGAGAGTGGTCCTAGCAAGGACTATTCAGGAGATGCAACACTCTAGGCAGAGCTGTTCAGGGGTGTGGGAGTGAGGGGGCAGGGGGGCTGCAAGTGGACCTTCAACTTACTGCTTAAAAATGCATCAGTAAGTTGTTTGTGCAAATAGCTAGGTAAAATTTTGCTTCAGCGCTTGTGGAGAGTACAATCTGTGGCGCTTCAGTATCTAAGTAGCAGATTGGGCCTACAGATCAACTACTAAAACATTAAGTGGCCTAAAGTGCACCAACAGATTGAATGTAGAAATGGAGAGTGAATTCTTGGTACAAATGAATGTGTTGCTTAAAAAGCAACTTTCCTTCTGTCTCTGACCACTGGTTTTGGGGTCATGAAATAGAAACTGTCTCTGAAAATAGCTTCCTTCCCTGTGTGTTTTCCTCTTGCTACCCGGAGCACCATCCAAGTCACACGTCATAAAGGCAGCACTGACAGTAGAAAGGCTACCTGGAATAGTGAGGCTTTATAGTCACATACACCAATTCATAAGTAGAGGAAAAGGGCCTCTCTTCTTTCCTCTTTCTGTGCCATCTGCCATGAACAGAGGAAACAAAAGCAACTTCCCTGGATAAAACTCTTCTGAATCAACCCAGTCCAGCCTCACCAAACGCATGCTATGCTCTCCTCACCCTGTGGGATGGCAAAGGGGGCAATGCTCTGAAATTACTTCTTCTCTTGTACTTCTCAGAGGACTTTGTTCTTCCCTCTCTCTCAGACTTTTACATCCCAGGGAATGACCTGGCTGCTCCAGAGAGGTTCTATGGAATTGGTATATGGATTAAGGATGATGTTGTGATGACAGAGAACATGCCACTGATCCTTTTCATAGACTGCCCTAAGGAGCTCTACCATATTAAGCACATATATAGTCACAGCTCATTACTTCTCTCTTCTGCCTCTTCCACCTTCCTCTAGTTTCTCAGGAATCCTGCTCCTGTGCACCCTGACAGAGATGCATTTATTTGTAAATGGATATAGTTCTTGGGCAGTGAGGGTTGGGTCGGGCTGTTGATCCTTTACGGACTCTGGATTTAGGAGCAAGAGTTGAAGTATAACAACATGACTATCAAAAAATAAAGAAACTGTGAGTTCTGTATTTAATGTTTGTTCCAGTTAGTGCTGACATGAATATCAGGAATTTTGAAAGTGGATTCTCTGCCTGTTCACATGGCTTCTTGTGTCTGCTGTAGTTCACACGGTATAATGATCTTGCTTAGTATAGTTAGTGACCTGCTTCCTCCTCCCCTCTTGCAGCTAAAATGCAGAAACTGATAATCAGGTTCCACACAGATTTTTTGTTAGGGCCCCACATAAATCCAATCTATCCCAAATGTTCAGAGGGTTAGAAAGGACATTTTTGTGGGGTAGTTGTTCAAGCATGTGATGATTTTGGTAGCTGCACAGCAGGAGACTGTTTGGCAAGCAGGGAACTGTTCGTCATTTTGGAGTGTTGGAATGATCTTGGGGCCTTGTTTTCAGGTGGCCTAGGAGCATATGGCAATTGGGAATAGGGGGTCATCTTGCCTAAAGAAGAGGGAAGCAATTAAGAGCAGGGATGAATGAAGTTTGGAGCTCTTTTCATGGTGGTTTGGATTACCCAGTATTTCTGTCTGTGCTCCCCCCCCACCCCCTTTCTCAGCCTTGCAGTTTACTTTCCTTTCCCTTGTTTCCCTAGTGATTTGAAAAATGATCCAATCTTAAAAGCATCACTGGTGCCTTAGGACTAAAATGTTTTATTTCTTTTGGGGCTGAGGCTTTTCAAAGCAAAACTGCAGGTCTTCTTTCTGCAGCAGCTAGTGGTATCTCCAGTTCTGAGCAGGGGGGCTGGACTCCTTTCTAGAAGAAAGAAATTAGATGGAGCTTCAAGAACTGACTAATCTTTTTAAGTAAGCCACAACAGATCTACTGACTCTGATGTCTTTACGAAGTGAAGGATAGTTAGGACAAAACCTGCCATTTTAATCAAAAGAGTTCCAAAGTGTAACTCCATATACTAGGGTCTATGTATGTATGCACAGAAGTTTATACCTAAATAAATAAGGATGCATCTACAGATTCTACTCAGCACTTAAAGGAATGGACACGAGTGTTTCAGTATCGCAGTGCAGCAATGCTTTTTAATAACAATATATTTTTTTAATACCCTTTAGTATAGTGTGGCTTCATTAAAGATTTTTTTACTGCTGCTTCCCTTCGTTCCCTGCCAGACAGTGCATCATAAACCCAGACATACGGGTCTGCAGATTGCACGGCTTTTACCCATCAGCTGTCATCCCCTTGCAGTGACGTCAGCAGGGTTGGGTGGTCTATAATTTACATGGTAATAGTAACTTAAAGGGAAAATAGTCAATATTCTTCCTATGTGTGTGCCCTGCTATGTGTTTTCCTAATTGTTCAGAAATCTTATTGACTATATAGAGATTCATTATTTTAAAGGGACATTACCAACTAGATTTAGGTTTCAAATTTAGGTGTTGTAAAAAGAAGGGTTTTGTGTAAATAAATACAAATGAAACTATTTTCCTATTTTGGATGGGTGGGGAAATAAATATCTAGAGGTGCACTGATATATCGGTTGCATATCAGATTGTCACTGATAAAAGAAAATTAACATTATTGGGTATTGGCTGTTTTTGGCTGGTGTAGCCGATAATGCCTTCTGGTGGGGGCCCCTGGATGCTGCGTACATGCGCACAGCCACACACATGCATGCAGCCAGGAATGCAGCCAGGCAGCATGGAGAGCAGCTCCCTGCAGGTAAGTCTTAGAGGGGAAGGGATGTGGGAGGCGGGGGAGTAGGGGCGTGGGAGGGCAGATTGAGGCCCCCATGGTGAGGGAGGGAGTGGACGTGGGGGTACTGCCCAGCCAGGGTGGTGAACAGGACCCAGGGCTGGGGCAGGGAGCGGGATAGAGCTGCGGGCAGCTTGTCCAAGGAGCGCAAGGGAGGGAGTGGGGAGGTGGGGGCGGCTCCCCGCTGCTGCATGTACACCCGAAGGGAGGCATGGGGGGCATGTGCCCCCCAAGATTTGTGCATGGGACAGATGTGGGCTGCTCACTGTGGGCTTGGGCTCTCCACCATGCTGCCTTTCCCTCAGGAGCTTTGCGCTGGCTGCATGCACCCTGCTCACCTGGCAGCAGTGTGGGGCAGTGAGTTGTGCCTCCTGTTGCTGGGAGGGCAGGGGACGCATAGCTGCTGTGAGGCTCCCAAGGGAAGAGGCAGCAGAGCGGAGAGTCCTGAGCCTGCAGCGGGCTGCCTGCATCTGCTCTTGCCCTGCTTGGCTTGACTTAAAAGTGTCCCCACGCTTAAAAATGGTACCAGTACTGCTTGAACTAAAGCCCATTTGATGAGATTTAGTTCAAGTGCTGCCGTTGCCATTTTAAGTTCCAGGATGCTGATCCCCTGGATGAACCACCTGCTACTCTGTTCCACTCCCCACCCCAACCCCAGGTCCTATTCACCACTCTGGCTGGGCAGCATCCCCAGCCTCTGCCCCACTCTCTTCCTCACTGTGGGGGCTTCAATCTGCCCCTCCCCACCATGTCCCTTCCCTCCCCTTCTCAGATTTACCTGCAGAGAGCTGCTCTCCACACTGTCTGGCTGCATTCCTGTAAATCAGTTATCAGATCGGTGTTGGCTGCCGATATGGCTGGTTAATAATTGGCTATTGGTTGGTCAAGAAAATCTTTATCACTGCACCCGTATAAATATCTCATAACCTTTTTCTCTAAAGCATTCCCTTGTGATGCCACTACACAAAGTCCTGTTACTAGTATGAGAACTGGGAAGGCAAGCTGATTCAGCTTTTTGTCCACAGGGTAATGTACAAATAAACACGCAGCATTAATGGGGAAAGAGACTTAAATGGAAAACATTCTGTGTTAATGCTCATAAATCAAATAAGGCATTTTCTTGCAATTATGATGACTTATCTTGGTAGTTTTTATAACCTGTAGACTTAGACCCTGATTCTGTAAAGAATACGTATGCATTTAATTTTAAACAGAAGAAAATGTAGCTTTTGAACACTAGTTATATTGAAAACAATGGCAAAACTCCCATTCAGTGTGACCGTTACCGTCCCTGTATTATTTACCTCTAACTGGATGTTCACTTATAACTGATTAAATGCTTCCAAATACCACATTGTAATATGCAGTGGGTGTCCAATAAAACCTGACTGGATTTTTTGTGGAAAGGTGATAGCCTAAGTTTTCGTTGTTCCAAAGTCAAGAACTTATTTGACACGTTTCCCAAGATGAGAGAGATAAAAGCTCCCTGCTTCTGCGCCCTACTCCTTGCATCTATATGGAATCAAAGGTTTGGAAGGGAATAAGTCACTGTAGGAAGAGTCTCTGTGGATTCACTAAAAGGCCTGGTCTCTGATGAAATGTTAGGTGCAGGAAGGCAGTATGACCTAGTCAATAAAATGAAACCAGACTTAAGAGATGTGGGTTGTGCTCCTGATTAAAGATCTCAACTTTTTATTAAACACACTAAGTCTTTTGGTTTTGGTATTTCTCATATTGAGTCTTTGGGCCAAAGTGAACATAATCTACAATTAGGTAATTAAAAAGGACCTTTTTATCCCATATGTGATTACATTTTGAGAATTTGAAATATAAAAAAGAAAATTCTCAGTTACTATTTCAGCACCAGGCCTAACTCTGCCAGTTATAGTAGCTGCCTACGTACCTGGACCTAGGCCAAAGACACCCTATATCAGTGTTGCTCAACCTCTGGCCCACAGGCCAGATTTGGCCTGCAGAGCCATGTCATCTGGCCCGTGAGGCTTCCCATAGGTCTGGAAATTTAGCAGTGGTGGAGCAGTGGCAATGTTAATTGCTGCTTCCTACTGCCAAATGTCTAGTACCATGGGGAGCCCCACAGGCTGGGTAATGCAAACCTGTGTACCAGATTGTGCCAGCATGTGGTCAGATCAGTATGCAGGATCACTCTGCAGCCAGGTCTAGCATGATTGGGTTGGCATGTGGGCAGATCTGGTGTGTGGGTTGAGCCACTATGGAGGATAATGACGATGCTGCTGCTGATGAAGCAAGTGTCACCACACTCATATGTCAGAAGCATGGGGACCAGAAAGCTAGAAGCAGGTAGAGTGGTCAATGTCAGTAAGACCATGGGCACCCGAAGGAGGGCCATAAGGGCATTCATAGATGGTGTTGTTGGCTATCTGAGCTTGAGCCCCACAGCTGCAGCTAGCCTTGTTGGAGAGGCCCCAAGAGTGCATGCTCGCCTTAAACTGTCCAGTGCCCCTTCTGAGATGGTTAAGAGCAGTTCAGGCCCTGTGGGGCAGCCGCCATCCTGAGGGGTGGAAGCTGGTATTGGGGATGAAGTTCTTTAGCTTCAGTTTTTGTGCAGCATCATTGGCGATGCATAGGTGGTACACGTGTGTGCATGTGCACTTCCTAAGATTGGTGGTGCACCCCATGCGAAAAGCACTGCTGACACTGCCAACAGTGCCTGCGGGCAGTCGCCACTCACCACCCCACCACCCTTGCCGCTGACACCGCTGTGGCTGCCTGTGGGAGCTTCCCGCTTGGCCTGCCTTCGCTGCCAACACCGCCACAGCTGCCTGCAGGAGTTTTCTGCTCCCCGACACCATGCCGCTGACACTGCCTGCAGGCAGTTGCCGTGCCCCACCAGCCTCAGGGAGCACACAGTGTTCATGTGCAGCATATTGCCTACTCCACTGATAGGAGGTCCATTCTGTAGGTGACATGCCATCTGCAGATTCAATGAGCTTATTGGCCTGAGTGGAGAACCAGTTCCAAGGCTTCAGGTAGTAGTTGGTTTTCTCGCTTGCAGCTACTGGGCTGGAGTGCAAAGAGTGGCCTAGATCTTGGGCTTTGAGGCCTAGAACCAGGGTAGCAGCTTGCCTCCAGATGTTAGGGGAGGGAATGCTTGAGAGGGTTGGTAGACGAGGTTCCTTGGGTGAATTTGATATCTTTTATTAGACCAACCCGAGAGGGTTGGTAAGCAGTCAGCTGGAGTTGGCATAAGGCCCTTGTTGGTAATGGTCCTCATGCGCTGTGAAGGCTGGAATCCAGTAACTTAGTGTGCATGCTCTGGCCCCATACTGGTGCACAGTACTCAGCAGGAGCATATGTAAGTGCCAGAGCAGAGCTGCAAAGTGTTTGGAAACTTGTGCCCCAGGTGGAAGATTATGCCATGGAGGATTACACGTGCAGACTGACTCCATGTGTTGCTTCCTGCGTGGGAGTTGACCTGTGGACTGACCCCTGCACCACTCATCTGGCCTGTGGGACCAGATCGGGCACCACTGCTCTACATAAAGATCAGAGAGCCTCTAAGTTGCATTCCCCAAGCCAAAGTGTTCTTGACGTTGCCACTCAGGACGTGCCTACACTGGTGATTTTCAGCTAGGTGCCATGCTGTCCTGAGATGCTTTCAAGGGTGTCTATGGACAGAGCTAGAATTTTGAAAAGGGAGATACAGATGGTGTGGGTTCACATCGCCATCACATATGAAACTGTGTGGGCCGGCTCCCGATCTCGGGGGCGAGCCGGGCCCGTCTTTGTGCACACAGGCTGTGGCCAGCAGCCCGGGCACGCAGGGCCGGAGAAAACCGCGGCGCGGTATGGTACGCTCGAGCTAGAATCAGTCACGGAGGCGTAATGGTTGATTGAAAAGATTATTTACTTACACCCAACGTGGTCGTGGTATAGGCTGGTCAGCTTTCCAGGCACAGCTCCGCTTGAGTTCTCGGTGGAGGACTCTAATAGACTCGGTTCCTGACCCCGGAGCGGTTTAGGCTCCGCAGGTTCAACGATTCGTTCTCACGGAGCAGCTGTATCTCCGTGGGTTGCACTCGGTTCCCAGGTCCCCCAGAGCTGTTAAGACTCCGTGGGTTCGACAATTGGGTCCATAGGATAGGGATACGTCTGGATTGCGATCGGCGACGGGGAGAGGCTAGAGGTTATATGCCCCGGAGTTGTTAAGGCTCCGGGGGTTCGGTAAATAGGTCCCCCGGAGTTGTTGAAGCTCCGTGGGTTCGACAAATTAAACCTCTGTTGCCCTCTTAAGGAAAAAGCTGGGTTCGAGAGGATCAGCAGCGCTCCTTTCCCGAACTCCACGTGCTTTGTACAGCTAGCAAGCCAATAGCTAGCTGCCACGTGTGCCTATATTAAGATCGGCCAATAATGTGGCGGAAATCTCAATACAAATGGCAGGAACTTCCTTGTACCGTGCATCACTATAATGCAAAAGAAATGCACGATGCAAAGAAGGCTACAAAACTGGCAGGAAAAAACTCCTGCACTTGGGTTCTTAATTGCAACAGAATGCTCCACCGTGCAAAAGAGCTGCAATTTAGCGGGAACACAATTTAGCGATGCCGAAGCGCACACAAACAAAAAACCCCACAACTTTGGGTTGTGACAGAAACAATATGTTTTTCTCCAGTTAAAAAGAAACTAGGAGCTTCATTAATAAGTAGGGGCCTACTGCTATATTATTCAAGACTGAAGAAAAAAAAACTTTATTAGAATGTGTGTTTTCTATATCCCATATTATGGGTAAAGCCCCAACAAACTGGGCAAAAAATAATCCAAATATGTTGTCTCATTAGTCCTGGAGTCATTAAAGGTGTGCCTCTCAGATTCATGAAGCAAAATCAAGCCTTCCGGAGCACCTGGACAGTGCCTCCCAGGCTGCACTGAAAGCCACGTCTATGCCTAAGCCTAATGTTCATGCTAGTTAATATGTCCACGCCCGAGTTAGCGTTTCTAGCTAGAGGTAAAACAGTCCGCAGGGCTGCAGAACAGGTGCTGCCGGACCAGGAGCAGGGGAGAGGCCCAGGAGGCAGGAGAGCTGGAGCAGTGGAGCCAAGACAGCAGGGGCTCGGCAGGGGGGAACGGAGAGGTCACAAGGGATCAGGGCCCTGGCAGGGGTGGGCAACCCGCGGCATGGGTGACAACGGGGCACATGAAGGCATTTTGCTCGGCAGGCGGGGAGGCCGATGGGCAGGGGCTGGTCTGTGTTGCCGAAACAGGGATCGGGCCCCTCGCAGCTCCTCTGCTGTCTGCCCCTGGCAGCCGGCATCTTTCCAGTCAGGGTTGCGGGTGCTTTTGGCACCAACCAACAAGACACTGCGGCCCGTGTCATAGAGGAGCGGGCCGGAGTGGGGCCTCCACAGGTCTTGGAGCCCAACCCCTGCCCGAGGCAGGATCGTCCTTCTGCGCGGCCGGCCCGCAGTGGCCCCTGCGCTTGGCTGTGACCTCTGGGGGAGCAGGAATCAAGGGCGGGGCGGGGCGGAGTGGCGCCAAGCCTCCCGCCCGCCGGGACGCTTCAAGCAGGGCCGCAGAGCGCCGCGGGCGGCTCGGGGAGCCCGGTGCTCTGCGCAGAACAGGCGGCCCCGGGGGCGGCTTGTTCTATTTGTTGCCTTTTTTTGTCCGGGGTAAAAAAAACAACCGCGAGTGAAAGCCCCGAGCTGCCGCTTCATACGGGGCTGCCTCGAAGCCCGGCCTGAGGCTACCAGGCCTGAGAGCCGCTGTAGCACCCGCGGCTGCTTGTGTGAGGCTACGCCCAGACCGGTGCTAGCGGCGGGGGCGCGGGGCTTCGCTGGCCCGCAGCAACGAGAGGCCGTGGTTGCTCCGAGGGAACAGCCCGCACTCGGCCCCTTCGATGCGCCCCGGGGCGCTCGCGGGCGAACCA